GTCAGGAGTTCGAACCAGCCTGAGCAAGAGCGAGACCCCGTCTCTACTATAAATGGAAAGCAAATTAATTGGCCAGGGCGGCGTGGCTGCGCCGAGGGCGGGCGCGGGGCGAGGAGACGAGGCTCCAGATTGCTGGGTTGCAGCCGCGACGCGCGGGGCCGCGTCGCCTGGAGTCCTGCCCGCTCAGCTGCGGACAGCGCGTGGCCACTCGGAAACCTCGCGGTGCGGCTCGGGCTCGCGGCCCTCTCACTCTGTGATGCTGAGCGGTCCTTTCTAGGGTTCCAGGCGCTGAAGCGTGAAGGGTCTCTTTAAATCAGACCTTCACAGCCGCCCCTCCACGTGCGCGCAAGCCCGCAGCGCCCCTCCGGCGTGAAGGAGCAGCCGGCCGCCCGGCTGCACACTCCGCGCTGCGGCTGCCGCCAACTCGAGACTGACAATATCTGGGTGGGGAAACAATAAAAAGTAACAACACGCCAATAAAAAAGGTAAAATTACTGCATGCTAATTGGTTACATAGCATTTCCATTGTGTTGGGTACCATACCCAATCTGGAGATGATTGAAGTACACAGGAGGGGCCGGGCGCAGTGGCCCAACCCTGTCATCCCAGCACTCTGGGAGGCCGAGGCGGGAGGATCGCTCAAAGTCAGGAGTTCAAGACCAGCCTGAGCAACAGCGACACCCTGTCTTTACTAAAAATAGAAAGAAATTAATTGGCCAACTAAAAATATATAGAAAAATGAGCCGGGCATGGTGGTGCATGCCTGTAGTCCCAGCTACTCGGGAGGCTGAGGCAGGAGGATCGCTTGAGCCCAGGAGTTTGAGGCTGCTGTGAGCTAGGCTGCACTCTAGCCCTGGCAACAGAATGAGACTCCGTCTCAAAAAATATATATATATATACAGGAGGATGTGCAGGTTATATGCAAAGGCCGCACCGTGTTTTGGCTGGTGCTTGAGCACCTGTGGGTTTTAGTGTCTGCAGATGGTCTCAGAACCAGCCCCCTCGGATACTGAAGGACAACTACACCATCTTCATCAAATGGATGCTTCCAAGTTTTGAAGATTTGGAAGGGAAGTATTTTTTTTTAAATTGTGGTAAAATACAACAAAATTTACCATCTTGACCAATTTTAAGTGTGCAGTTCAGTAGTGTAGCAAGAGAAACAATTTTTTTTTTTTGAGACAGAGTCTCACTTTGTCGCCCAGGCTAGAGTGAGTGCCCTGGTGTCAGCCTCGCTCACAGTAACCTCAAACTCCTGGGCTCAAGCAATCCTCCTGCCTCAGCCTCCCGAGTAGCTGGGACTACAGGCATGCGCCACCATGCCCGGCTAATTTTTTCTATATATATTAGTTGGCCAATTAATTTCTTTCCATTTATAGTAGAGACGGGGTCTCGCTCTTGCTCAGGCTGGTTTCGAACTCCTGACCTCGAGCAACCGCCGCCTCGCCTCCCAGAGTGCTAGGATTACAGGCGTGAGCCACCCAGCCTGGCCAAGAAACAATTTTTTTAAAGAAAATATACACAGATATTAGTTCTAAGGGCTACAATCTTTTGCTATAAGTATTTGTTTTATGATCTACACTGAAATAGTTGTTTAATGTTCTTCATATTAGCTTGCCAGAATAATGTTAACCTGTAAAACTTTAAAATGTTTCCATTGTAGATAAAGTTAGAACCTATCATAACTATTTATAATATTCAAGAAATTAACTCATTTTTCACCCACTTAACAGTTCAGAGCCATTTGAAATGAAATGTAAAGCAGGGAAACTAAATCTGGGCAGTGCCAAACAAACGCCACCGCCGCGGGGCGGAGGCGCGGGCCGCAGCGTGAGCGCACAGGGCGCTGGCGTCGCGCTCCTCTCCCACGCGCCGCCGTCCCCGCGCCGTCCCGCGCCGCCGTCCGCCGTCCGCCCCGCCGCCCCCGCCGTCCGCCGTCCCCCGCCGTCCCGCCGTCCGCGCCGCCGTCGCCGCCGCCCCCGCCGCCCCGCCCCGCCTGCCGCCCGGTCCGCCGTCGCTGCCGGCTGCCCCGCCGTCCCGCCGCCGCCACGCCGTCCCGCGCCCGCCGTCCCCGGCCGCCGTCGCGCCGCCCCGCCGCCCCGCCGCCCCGCCGCCGCCTCGCCGTCGCCGCCCCGTCCGTGCGTCGCCGTCCGCCGTCCCCGCCGCCCGCCGTCCCGCCGTCCGCGCCGCCGTCCCGCGCCCGCCGTCCCGCCGTCCGGCCCGCCGTCCGCCGTCCGTCGCCGCCCGCCGT